CAAGACACTGGCAAAGCACCAGTTTAATGAAGACAAAGAGACATTCATGTGGCCTTGTCACACGCACAAACTTCAAATAACACTGAGGGTTTGGGGCTACCTTAGCCATATACCAGATCCTTGAAGGGGGAATTTACCCTAAAATCCCACAAAACTGTCAGTGCTTGAGTCTAGTTGCCAATTTTTATTTCTCCCCAAATGACCTCTGAAAAACTCTCATGGCCTGAGGCAGAAAACAATAAAAAATAATCAAACCTCAGTTCTGCCCTTGATGTCCACCTCCCCCTGCCCCTCCCCAGCTAGCTGGTGGGTACAGGGAAGGCCCTCTGCCGATGAAGCAATGAACACTTGAGGGACCTTTCTAAGCTTTATTTTTTTTTTTACCCAAATAATCTGGGATGCATCTGATCCCACATGTCAGCCTGCAAATTTCTCCCTCACTTTTAAGGAACATACTGAAAGATTAGTTTTTCAGGTCCAGAGAAACTTTGAAGCAGCATCTCCACCTCTGGATTTTGGTAGTCACCATTTCCTCACTGTGCAGGAGCACTCCCACTTCAAGCACACGACATGAACTGAGGCCATGGAGTGAGGTCAATTTACAGCGAAGTCAAACATCTACTCTTGTATCAGAAAACCTCTCTGGTGCTGGAAGTGCACAGCTGTGCAGTGGTAACACCTACAGAGTTTCTTTCTGCCACTGAAGCCCCCAATGGACAGCACAGCCAGACCAAAGCCCTCCTGCGACTTCCCGGCGCCATTTCCAGCTGTTTGATGTCACTGCAGTGGCACAACAGGAGCTCCCTTTAAGGGTTCAGCTGCACTTTCCTGCTGGTTGGTCCACTACATCACATTTAGACTACTCCTTCCTACTGGAGAAACTCTGGTAAACAAGGAAAGAGCAGTCATTTTGCAATTGCGTTACACCAGTGCTGTTCAGAAGAAGGCTGATGTGCGGGTGAGCTGCAGGAGCCCCAGCGACACAAGCTCCAAACTGAAGAGCCAACACAGGTTTCAAAGTAGTTCCATACTCATTTATGTTTGATCTGCATTTCTCTACGTCCCATACAGAGTCAAGAAGCTGAGACATTAGTTCCTCAGAAACTTTATTTTCATTCAAACTACAGAAATAAAGTAGTACCTTCCAATTTCCCGTTATATTTTCTGCGTAGTTGTACGGCTCAGGGCGAGATGCACTGGGATAAACTACCCTGTACATACGGAGGAAGATAAGGCTCAAAAACTAGCTTTACTTCAAAGAATGCCAAACCTTACCTATGAGGTTGGCTCCAACTCTTTGATAACAATAGTAGGCACAACATAGGAAAAAAGATTGATCTAAACTACCTATTGTAAGCAAAATCCAATTATTCATTACAGAAAGTCAAAGAAACCTTTTAGAAATAACAAAACAGTTTTCTACTTTGAAAAAATAGATGAGTCATTTTTGCTTTATATACGATATATTCACACACACTTTCAAGTATCATTTTCACTATTATCATACTTACATGGCTAGAGATAAAAAAATTAAATCCCATAAGCAGATTATTATGCCAAAGAAGTCACACACTGTCTTTATCTGGGTTTAGCAACACCTGGAATTATCCACGGTATCACAGTGACTAAAAAAGCAGTGACTAGACTCAGTGTAATTTTTCCCTTTATTAATAAACATGTTTTAGTAAGGCTTGAAAAGCATCAGGACTTAGAAAAACGGAGACAAGAAAAGCATAGGCAGTCATAAACCCCACGCAGTCATAAACCCCACAAATTCACAGCTAAGCTTGTCACACGCTCAGTACTAGCAGGGAATAAAATTTTAAAAAAAAATCTGAGTTATGTTTGGTTAGCAGGCAAACTGATACCAACAGGCAGACTTCAGCTAGGATGTTTTTACATTTAAGGCATCACACAAAATAAGTTAATGCTGGGAAGCATAACTATCATGTGCACAGCCATAATTCACACGTAGCTCTGGACATCAGAACCTGCTCTATTACAAAACAGAAAGGCTAGAAGGGAATCCCATAGTCTTTTGGGAAAGTGCCAGGCAGCCACCAGACAAGAGGAAGAGTGACCATGGTTTTTATCACAGGGGAAGGAATTTAAGTGCTTATTAAAGGCTTTGCTACAGTGCCAGAGCCAGACACCTGAAAACAAATTCTATCAGAATACAAAACTTCCAAGAGCTAAAAGACAGAAAATCTGTTCAAGCAGCTGCAGTGAATGGGTGTCCCACAAAGAGATCAAAAATGGCAAGCCTTTGGGATTGAACAGCTCCTGGAGCTCTGAAGTGATGATGGAGAGGTGCAGTAGGTGCCTTCCATAGGACTGGTTCCACACTGCTTACTAATGCACTCTGCACTTCTGCCCTCCAAAGAATTTAGATGGACAGGTATAAAATGTCTCAAAATGCAATAGTTATACCTATTTCCTTCCTGGTCATGTATTTTCCATTTGCCTGTTTTTTTGCCCAATGGGAAAAGGCACAAATTCTGCATAAAAAAAAAAAATATTTTGAGACCTAAGTAAAACTTATTCACAAAAAAAATTTGCAGAAACCACAGACTGTTTTTAAGAGAGCAAAGTCATCTAAAAGTTAAGTGCCAGGCAGCCTGAAAGCTCTATGGTTTTAACCATCAAGCCTGTCTAGTAGAGTACTTGAGTGCAGGATGTTCTTAAAACTAGTTTTAAAACCATCAGGCCAAGCTCAAAAATAAAGCTTCTTGGAAACATGCAAGGTCACATATCAAAGGGAAGATTCATGTCACTTTCAGGGACTAAAATCCAATGTTTTAGGGTTTGTTTTGTTTTTTTGCATTTAGTAAGAGTCCCAGAGTGAAGTCCAGAGTACTTTTCCTAAGCAATTTAGTAAGAAAGGATTCCATTAGGTAGGATGGAAGCTTTGAGCTCACTCCAGGCTTGGCTAAAAGCCACTACTCCAAGTTTCCAGAGTTTGGGTAACATTAAAGTTAAGTTTCCTGAGCTAGAGACAACTTGATACACAAGACATTGACAGCACAGCAGGACAAACAGGAGTGACAATGAAAAGCATTGCACAGCCCAACATTACACCCAGAACCTGACAATTCACACATATTCCTCATGTTGCCCCATCTTCACAGGCTGTATTTTCACACATTCTTATACCTCTTCTAGCACAGCAATTTCTGCTGTCTTTCCTTGCTCTGCTGGCTTTGTATGACATAACCCCATAGACATTTACTCTGTAGTCTTCCCAGGCTTACTAAAACCATGCATTGATAACAACCACCCCTTTAGGTGGGAGTTTAATGACACTGAACATCCTGCATCAATATACTTCAACATTTACTACTTTGTCCTCTCCTGAGCCTGTGGCTGTTATTTTAATACACAGAATGGAGAGCTCTCCGCTTTCTCCCTTAGCACACAAATACAAACTACACCATTATAATCAGAAGAAGATTAGTATGCAGCACAAAGTGATTTGCAAGCTGGAGAAAACAAGGTTTGTGGTCATTTGCTTCCTCTAAAAATGAATTAAAGGCATAGGCTGTATGTTTGATAAAGCAACCATGCCAGCTATTTTCCTCTCAAGTCCTCTAGAAATACTGCAACTGTTATGTGAGCAGCAAAGAGCCTCAAATCAACCTGCCTGCAGTTTCCACACTGCAGTACAAGTTAGCTGGCTGCTTCAATAGGTTCAGGCTCAAAAAAGCTGAGACCATTCCAAAAAAACCCATCTATCGCTTTTCTATATGAACAAAATGCTGCTACCCTAAACAATACTCTGGTCAGTCTTGTAGTGAAATGAACAAAGCCAATACTATGTAGTTCTCACAACAGCACTCAGGTTAATGTCAATGCTCTTTAAAAAGGGCAGCACTACCACTGCTTCCAGTGACACTCCTTTGAGGGAGCCTGGCCGCCCTGCTCCCAAACTACACACACGCAGTCACAAGCTGGGAGGCTGGTTCATCTTCACATTCCCATGCAAGCAAGCATTACTGATGATTAGCTGAAGCTGGGAAATAGGCATGAACTGCTATATTCTACTATCAATGGACCTATTACACAAACCTGACTTGCTCTGCACACCTGCTGAATCAGGACAGGCAACCAGTTACATGAGAATCCACAGAAACCAGCACACAAACAGCCTTGACAGCTCTCTCCACATTCACCAGCTATCCTGGTTAATGACCAATACTGAAGGCATAGTATCTTTAGATAGGGATGTCTACTCTAAGTGTTTCTATTAAACAGTCACAGTAATGATCCAGACATTTTTGGCATAGTCTGATATGCTCCTTATGACACATTTCTGATCAAATGTGCAAGAAAAGTGTTCAAGTCTATTTCAGCACACAGACCCTTCAGTGACTTCATCAGGCAAACTAAAGCTTCACTGCCAGCAACTAAACTTGCTTTAATAAGTTATCACAAAGATGAAAACCCCAATAGGCACTTGCCTTGAGCACTTAACTGAAGAAAGTTTCCACAGCCCTGGCAAGATCTTTAAGTACATCACACACTTGGAAAAAAAAAAAAAAAAAAAAAGAAGTCAGCAATCAAGCACTGATTTTGCTGCGTGCTCTAAGAGGTGGAAAGAAAAAGCCTCTCATATTTTACTCAAAATAAGTGAACTCAACACTGGAAATCTCCTTCACCCTGTGAACTTCCAAGTAAACTAACAGCTCCTCCTGGTGTAACTTTCAAACAATGAAACAAAGCTTCAATTAGTCAGACATATATAATAGCAAGCTATCTAGATACTCATACTTTTATTTGTAGTCATGTCTCTGGTATGCTCTACTTATACTTTATGCATTATACCCTTAGAGCAGAATCACTCGCTAAAGCACTTCTACTGTAGCTCCTACCTGAAACTAAACAGCTTTCTGTGTACCCTTGAAATTCTTGGTTGGGCATAAAACAGGAGTCAAAAGAGAAACAACACAAACCATGATCAGTTAGACCAACCACTAAAAAGAACAGTAGCCACACTGATGTAATTCCACTTTGATTTAGGGTGCTATCTAGTAGGTTTATTAAAAGTTTCAACAGACTATAGCTCCAGACTTTATCTTTCTTGGAAGACACTACAATAGAAGCCACAGTAGAGACTGCCTTGTCACAAGAGGTACAAATACTTGCTGTATAGATGGAGAAATAAAAGGACAAATCTAGTTGTCTAAAAGACAATTCACTGTACACATTTTATTTACAGTTTTGTACACTGTCTTAGTATGAATGGGACCGCTTTTCTACTTGAGCCATTTTAACCAAAGCAAAATAACCTAAGTAATACAAAGTGTTAAAATACAGCATAAGATACAAAAACAGACATACTATTTCTAGTAAGGAATGTAAATTATGGTGTTACATTAAAAAAAAAATCCACATTTATGTTCAGGAAATCACACAAAAAGATCACTGATTTGACTGAAATGCATAAATCTGTAGCAAAGCTTTGATGTTACAAAAAACCAAAAAATTACCAAAGAATGCACAAAATTCATGTTTATTCCACCTTTGTCATATTCCCAGATTCTTCACCAAATGTTACATGAGCAAAAACAACTGAAATCAAAATATCACTAATGTTATCAAATAGGGAAAACAAATAAATTAATCTAGCAGCCATCAGCAGAGGTTACAGCAAAGATGATGCTGTATAAAAAAATTGCTAGAAAACTGTATGCACCATACTCCTTTTCCAAACCAGCAAAATCTTACTGCATACAATGCAAATGTAAAACTGAGTAATTTTCTGCAGGTACAGAAATGCAACTTTTTTTTCTGAATACTGTGGATAACAAATTATTTTTTTGCAATAGTAATGTTTCTACCAAGCTATTCCAGAGTGGGCCAGAAACACACTTAAGGATTTTGGGGCAGGGGGTGAAGTGTACTAAAATTCCAATTGGTAATGGTTACTTCAGCCAAAATAGAAAAATTGAACACAGAAGTACAAGACAAAGGCGAATGAGACTTCTCACAAATCTTAACAACATTTAGATGGAAATCAAATTTAAATGTAGTCCACTCTGCTTTTGAAGAGGCTTTGGTTCAGCTCCCAATCTCGATTGCTTGACGCAGTCTCCTATGAAAGAATACTCAGAAGGTGTCGTCTTAAACAACAAACCTATTTTTAGTGGTGGAGCCGCTCTTAGTAGCTGTGTCTGCATGGGACTGATAACCAATCACTATCTTTGGAGGAAGTCCTAATCTTTCCTTGTATACTCTCCTGGAGAGGAAAAGAAATAAAACAACAGTTTATGCAAAGTCCTTTAGGAAGGAATTAGTATCAGGACACCTGCTTTTATGGTGGACACCATAAAAAAAGAGAAAAAAAAAAGAGTTGCCTATTTAGAAACAATTTCTCATACAGGAATAAAGGACTTGAAATATGATTTTTCTAGTGTATTGCATCTAAAACCTACTTAAATTTTTTTTAAATTACCACATATAATAGGATTAGTTATTGAAAAAAATAATTAACAGAACTAAAATGCAAAATGCAGGGACTCGACACTGCATTCATGTGAGCATTATTAATACCAGAAAACTGTATTTCCACATACAGAAACAAAACAGCTATGAAGAACTCCTGGTTCATGATTCCAGAACTACTGAGATGATAAAGTCATCTGAACCAAAGAAAACATTCTCTGGAACAGACAGTTTTAACCACTCTACACATCATGGCTGCAGAGAGTTGCTGTCTTTCCTTTAACTACTGAGAGAAAGCAGATCCCCACAGACCTTATCACAGGCACCTTACCCAACAGAAGCTTTAAGAATAAACAGCTTGGCTCTTATGTCTTAAGAGAAAGAAGCAGCAGTACCTGCCTTAGAGAGACACACACAGAATACTCCTTAGCACAGAGATGCAAGTCACTAATGGCCACTCCTGTCTGAAGTGAAGGTAATATGGAAGCCCATGGGCAAGATAACTTACCTTGGTCCTTGTGTCAGTTTGCCAAAATCTGAACTTTTTCACAGTACTCTAAAGGAGTCAACTCCTTAGTTAATGGTAAATACCATTCTAAAATGCTGTCTGATGCCTACTAGGTTTATTGGAATATTCTGGTAGCAGAAGATGAATACCATAGTTTTGCTCATTTATTATTAAACACTTACCATTGAAGCCCAAGAACATGACTATATAATAAAATTGTTAGTAGAAGGCAGACACAGATTCTTAAAGCCCCAAAAAACACATGTCAAAAGAGCCATCAGGTAGTGAAAAAAGTAAGCTGCTATGCCTGACAGTTCAAGTTTGGATTAAGACGGATGCATTAAGTCAGGAAGATAAATGTTTTCATTGGTTTTCATAAGACAAATGGCCTACAGTGACAAATTGAACAGCACATTATTCCGAAGCATCGGTACTATAGACTCCAATAAATACTTGTGTAATCAGTAATTGTAATCACATAACTGTGTAAATAGTTGCTGTGTAATTAGTAATACCGGCTACACACTAGAGCAGAACATGCATTTTCCATAGCACAGTCTCATAATCTGAAATAACTAGTGTTGCTTATTTAATGACTAGAGCACGCTATTACATAGGTCAAATAACCCATGAATCTCAGCATTGCTTTATCTGTACTTAGAGGCAAAATGTAGGAAAACACCTGTAGAGTTTCACAGCACATCACTACAGCTTTTTTCTTTTTATTTTTTTTCCCCAAATTTAAGTACATCCTTCTGTGCTTAAGACTTGCAGCACCTTTCCTTTCCTAACTTATTTGTAAGCATTACTTTACTGGGGGGAAAAAAAAATATCTTATCAATGCTCTACTCTTACTGACACCCACCTTTACCAACTGGCAGGCTGGAACAGATTGCACATTACCTACAGTTGTTAATTACAACGCCTCATTATGAAATGAGAATTTTTGCCAAGATTTGTGTATGGGCATGTGTTAGTAACTACTCTGCACTGCTGCACTACCTTCACTGTAGTTTAGAAATGAAGAACTGAACACAATTTGGTACAATTATTTAAGCTTGGGATACAGCTCTGCACAGGCTCCACTTGTCTGAAATACCTCCTCTGCCTAGCCAGCTGGCTTTACATGCATGGTTACACTTCATACAGCCGAGGCACTGATCACATTACTTACCCTATATGCGTAACAGCATCCCTGTTTTCACATTCAGTTGTCCATATTGCTATTTTATCACCCTTAGTTCTAACATTAACAACAGCACCACACACATCATCACTGTAGTCATCGAATGACTCCCCAATAAGGCACAGCAGCTGTGAAAGAGAAAGCAGTTCAGAGTCAGAATCCTGTGCTGTAGACAAGCACTCAGCATACACAAGGACTGAGGAACACATTTTACTGCCTACAGCCACTTGCCATCCAACAATCATTTTCTATTTATTGCAGTGTCTTCTTGAAGATCCAAATATTACAAGTGAACATACTCTAGCAGGGCATCTTCCCTCTAGTCTCAATTTTCCATTCCTCCTCCTCTGCCACCTGCTGCAAGTTCTGACACAGCTGATCATTTCCACAGTGCTGCCTTCCACCCCATCCTCCAAATCCAAAACAAGAAAATAAAGCAGTGTATTCTCCTTTCTATAGTACACTTAACACAGATGGACCAATCTGAAATTTGTGATGTTTCCATCCATCATCTAGGAAGAACCTGTTAAGGACTATTTGCACAACATCAAGTATGTAAGGTTTAACCTCAATGCTGAAGCCTATCAATTCAGAGGTAAATCTGACTGCAGCCAGAAGATAAGTGCTATCCAATGAAATGTTACTTCCTATCAACACTGGAAGCTTCAGCATTCCATAAACTAAAGTAGGCATCAATGATCCTGAACAGGGTTTAATACAATGCACCAATGCAGGTGCACAAGTAACACAAGAATCTTCCTCCCAGGTTTCTAGCAGTGAAGCTTGGAATTGGCTAGGGACATCAGACTGAACAGGGTCACAGTCCTGTGCAACATGCTAACTCTGAAAGTGGTATTTAAAATCTGCAGCTTGCAACTTGTAAAACAAGCAATCCTGATATTCAAAACTAATGGTTTCCTGTGCTTGAGACACACTTGCCTACATTATTCTGAATTAAAAAAAAAAAAATCTGCACACTGAATCTGTGAATGGACACTTGTTTCCTTCCAAAGGACATTAAATACACTGCTGTCACATCAGTTTTCTGGTACCACTTATAACATTTGGAGATTCAACATGTTTGCAACTTTTCGAACAAAACAGGTCTTCCAGTACCCATCAGACCCACAAGGTCTGGCTGACTCAAGGAAATACAAAAAAGACAAAGCTTGCTAATGAATAAATTGGGTGTAACTAGACATGCTTTAAATGTTACACCCAACTGCAGGCTGCACACACTGAGTAATTCAAGCCACAAATGGCTAAGATGAAACCACACACAAACATGCAAAGTATCGATCAACTGTCTTAGCTCACGTACAAGATGACTACCATGCTCAATAAACACTACTCAGGTATGTTTTTCATGAATGTTGCACAACAGGGGAAAAAAGTCCTCTCAAATGAAGTTTAGTTTACAGTTAAGATCATTATAATAAAAATTTGTTCCAAAGGGGAGTTTGAAACGCTTTGATTTCTATTGCAAAAAATTGGTTGCATATAATTACTGGAATTAGAAATGACAGGGTTGTTTTAGGGCACATATCACAGTCACCTGGGTATTTAGGCTCTGTGCCACTGCTCACTGCTAAGCAAAAAGCAGAGCCCTCTAGCCTTCAGTTTACACAGCCTATCTATGGCTCCAAGCCATATGTCATGGCTATTAGCAGTCAGGACTCACACATGCATTAGCCCAGGTACATGCAGCAGGATGTTAATTTGCCCATGTGCAGTCACAGTGCCCAGTACTGTAATGCTCTCTTCACAACTACAGCAACTACAAAGATCCTGAAAGTTCTGACATTTTGACCTCTGCTTTGATTCTGAAGGCCATTTCTCCCTTTCACAGGGGTGAAATACTCCCTGCCTCACAAAAGCAAGGACAAAAGATGAGAGATTTGCCAAGACTGCTGTGCATTGTCCTGTCTGCAATCCATGTCCCTAAATCCTAGATCGCACTAGACTGTCTTAGGCTATTCTGAGTCAGTTCCTAGACAACACATTTTTCTGTGATACATTTACTGCAATCCACACTACAAATATAAATATCATTCAATTCTATTCCAAAGAGATAACAGCAATGGAAAAAGAAAGTATTTTTATGGTGTGTGTATATACAGGATGAATGCACTGTTATTGCCTATCCCAGCATTTAAGATAAATATAGAAAGAAAAAAATAAATCTGAAACTGCCTTGTTCAACAAAGCCAAAACCTGAAAACTATTCACTTTTTCAAAAAGTATTTGTAAAACAAATTGTTTTATTAATTGAATCAGCAAGATGCCATTAAGACAATTCTTATTTTCACAGTAGTTCAACAGTAATGTTCTATACATTACATGGGAAAAGCTTAATCTGTCCTGCAGAACTCTCCCTGTTGTGCCTGCTAGAACCAAATATTAGACAGAATACACCCAACATGAAGGATCACTATTGAAGAAACATGTTTCAAATACAGCCTGTCACTAAAACCCTACAGATACTCTGCTGCCAAGAAGTTAGTATAGTGTAGCACACAAATATCAAATCAGTTAAATATATTTTCACACAGACATAAGACTCCTCAGCTGCCACTGGTGCTTACTGTCTCTAGCCAGAAGCGATCAAGGTCACTTCGTCTCTGCTGCTTGTTTAGTGTAATTAGCCATCGGCCTCCTCGCTTGTTTTTTTCATCTTCCCACATGGGTTCAATCCCATCCTGCAAAGAAAGGCCACAAGTTAAATCAGACTCCAATTCTATTTTTCCTAAAGAGACACCAAAAGGCCAGTGATAACTGGAACAGTAAGTTAAGAAATGTACAGTTTAAGATACATACAATAATGTCCAGAAATACTGTCTCACAACAATATCAAATTTCCAAAACAACAAGCGCACACTCTGATGAATTTTTAGTTCTACAGAAGCACCACAGTCCAGGCAAAATCTAAGCTATATATTACATTAAAAAAAACCATCTGAGGCAACAGGCAGAGACAACCACCTGCTTTGCCCTGCATGAAACCAGAATGTAGCTGCTAATTTGATCTGGAGTCCTTATTTTATGTCTTGCACTCAGTGCAGTATCAGCCAAGCGCTTCACTTATGCATACAGATTATTTCACTGAAACAGACACCTTCAGCAGTCTCTCTATGACTTCTTCCCACACAAGGTGAAAATAAGAGGATTTTCATTGTTGGGGAGGAAAAAAAAAAATAATCAAGATACCCTTTCAAAGCATGATTTGATTCACATTTTGCCAGTGGCCCTGTACTGAATAAAAGGATTCTGCATGTGCTGATACAGCAAAGCAGCCAGCTATTACTCCCATATGAACCAGCTATGGTGCACTTCAGAAAGTCATTAAAAAAGTCAGTAATTGTCTAGACAGAGGAATTCTCTTAAAAACTGTCCACTAAGAATTGCACTACAGAACTTATGGCTGAAAACTAACTGTTCAACATGCAGGATGGAGTGGTGTCATCTCACTTTAAATATAACACCCTCACTAGCAGCTGCAGAGCTTAAACTAATTCATCACCTTTAAGAGGACCTCTTAAGAGGTCACAACTAAAGGACAGTAGTAAGATACTGCCCAGAAGCCTGAAACAGTTGCCAATTCTATACCTATTCCATGAAATTATAGAAGTATTATTGCTTGATGACAAGCAAACACAGAACAGATACATGTACTTAAAACACAAATTAAGGATTCATGCAAAAAATAAAAGCATTATCCATAGATATCCTAATCCCTGAAGAGCCTGCAGCTTCTTAAAATTCTGCTAAGGTTTCTCAGTCACCTAGAATACCATTACCCTTCCCAAACCCAAGCAGCAGCACCTCTTCACTAATCTGCTAGGTCTACAAACAGTGCACACAGTCTGCTGAGGAACCCCAGCCTTTGGCTGCATTCTGTGATCAAAGGAGGAACCAGGCACCACCACTTCAGGGACTATTTAGGTGTTAGAATCCAGAAAGGAAGCTGCATGATAGAAGCACTACCTAGAACTTAGGATTTAACTTAGAGCCCCAATTCAGATCTCCACCCCAGCTGAGGCAAGATTTCATGTACACTTTGCCATCAGCATTTCCTATTCACTCATCTGGACACTTCCTTAGCATGTTCTAATTGTCCATGTTGGGTGCACTTTTCTATTTCATGCTTAAGTAACACAGCATTTAACTGGTAGTATAAAAATTAATATGAGTAATGTGTATCTGGCTACTAGTACCCATAAGGAATACTGGGCAACATTGCTGCCCCCCACAGACATTTTAACTCATTTCACATCAAGTGACAGAGCTGGAAAACCTTTCATATTAGAAAAATTTACACTTAATTGTTTGCACGAACATCTCAAACACATAAAGACTAATACAGTTACAGATTAAAATCTACTGTCTGTGATGTGTGTCAAAGCAAGTGATTGCAATTTCAGAAGCAGTGACCTCATTTTCAGACAGCAAATGTCTGGGACTTCCTCAAAAAAATTAACAGCTTTATGACATTCTCAACCGTGTTCCTAAGCAAAATATTTGGACAGTGTCTTGCTTAGTCAGGAAACCATCCATCAACGTCCTTAACTAAAGAAAAAACATTAGCA